GCTCCTTCCTTGAAGGATATGACTGTAACAACAAATGTATATATAATGGATATCTAAAGAAATTGATCAATTAAAAATTTATGAAACATTTGTAAAAAATAATTAAAATTAAAAAATTTTAATTAATTAATTTTGATAAAAATTATATTTGTGAATAAGTCAAAATATTCGTATTGTTAGTAAAGCTTTAGAAAAATATTGCATATTAAAAGCAATCTAACATTAATCTACCAAATTGTAAACAGATTATTATTTTTTTCATGATTTTCCTCTGCAAAATTAAAAACTTTCAAAATTATTTAAAAAAAAAAACTTCTTAGTTACTTATTAAAACATCATTTTATTTTCAAGGAAACACAATTTAATTTAATTTTTAAGAACATTTGATTTATTTAAATGAAAAATGTAGTCATTTTACGTAAATTGAATTACTACATATTTCGTAGCAGAATTTTTTTTTCAGATAATTATAAATTTGTAAACATTTCATTTTTTATAACCTTTATTTTGTTTTAACTTTAACTTTATTTATTGAAATTTAACATTAATCTACTAAATTGTAAACAGTTTATAAACGTTATTATTTCTTTTAAGATTATCATATGTAAAAAATAAAAAACTTTTCCAATTATTTTAAAAGAAAATTTTTTTAGTTACAAAATTAAAAATTCAATTTAGTTTCAAGGAAACATGTTTTTAAATTTAATATTTAAGAATATTTTATTTATTTAAATGCAAAATGTAGTCATTTTACATAAATTGAATTACTACATATTTCGTAGAAAAAATTCTTTTTCACAAAATTATGAATTTGTAAAGTTTATTTTATTTTACATAATCTGACTAAAAATATCTCATAATGAATCATCTTTTCGATATTTTATTATTTTTAATTTATTTTAAAAGAACGCTTACTCACATTTTTAATTTTTAATTCTATTGGCACTAATTAATTAAACTCATTTCGTAATAACTCTTATTTAAAATTCTCCTGTCAAACATTTTAAAAATCAGATTTAAAATTCAACATCATTAGTCGATTCATAATTAACTTCTTTTTGAAAATAATCCTTTTGAAAATGAGAAAACAATCTTCATCTATAATTCATTTTCCTTATTAACAGCAAATTAATTAGCGAGAGAAACATCTTTTCATTCTCGACTGAAGAACAATTTACATTTTTAGGTATTAACTTAATCCCCTACTTTTCCGGGGAAAAAGGATTTTTTTTTCTTCCCTACGCCAATTTTGTCCCTAAAAAGTGCTCTTCCTGCTCAAAATTCAGACAATGAAACTAATTTCCCCTCCCGCAAAAATATAAGTTATTTGCGTGGGATTAAAGAGAGTCAAGCAGAAATTCGCGAATACATTAGTACGGGTATATATTTATCCTAGGATTAAAGTTCCCAAATAATTATCGAGGACTTTTCGAAACGGAAGATTACTTAGTTTCTAGGACCGTCGGTGCGCACTGGCACTCTAGTACGAAAGGCTCTCGTTCACAGATGAGCAAGTCGTTTGCAATTAACTACTGAAGCGCTTATCGAAAGGGGTTTTGGGGGCTGGGGTCGAATCACGTGGAGGGTTGCGGACGGGGTGGAGGTTGGGGGTTCCGTGAGCTATTGTGCGAGAGTTTAAATGCATTTTTCTGGCACTTTTCTCCCCGTGATTTGCATAAATCAGCGTAAACGAATGGGGTATTGTACCAGGGTTTTGAGGGAAATACTAGAGGTGCTGTGGTGTTGCACCCATAAGCAAGTTTTAACGGGTATTTAGACCCCATCCCCGTTTCAACTAATTTCGAGGCACTGGATATGCATTTAAATTCGATGCAAGTTAATAACATCGTTACTTGAATTGTAAAATATGATTGCCTTACCTAAAGTAATTGGATAACTCTTTTGAAATTTATGGAGTAACCAGTTTTAAAACAAGGATAGTTAGTTTCCATCTGCTACAATTTATATAACTATTATCATATTGACCTAGCTTAAATTATATTGCTCAACAATAGGTATATATTAAATAATATGTGTACTAACAAATTGATATTATTATTTTTTATGAGTATCATGAGTAAAATTTAAACTTTCACAATTATTTAAAAAAAAAAAATTTTAGTTACAGATTAAAAACAATAAATTTAGTTTCAAGGAAACACTTTTTAAATTTAATATTTAAGAATATTTGATTTATCTAAATGTGAAATGTAGTTATTTTACATAAATTGAATTACTAGATGTTTTGTAGAAACAAAACTCTTTTTCACAAAATTATAAGTTTGTAGACTTTATTTTATTTTACTTAATCTGATCTAAAAATTATTTCTTAATGTGTAATCTTTTCGATAATTTATTATTTTTAATTTTTTTCAAAGAACACTCACTTGCATTACTAATTCTTAATTCTATTGGTACTAATTAATTAAACTCATTTCGTAATAACTCTTATTTAAAATTCTTCTGTCAAACATTTTCAAAAATCAGTTTTAAAATTCAACATCATTAGTCGATTCATAATTTTCTTTTTGAAAATAAACCTTTTGAAAATGAGAAAACAATCTTCATCTATAATTCCTTTTTCTTATTAACAGCCAATTAATTAGCGAGAGAAACATATTTTCATTCTCGACTAGAAGAAGAAGAATCTAAATTTTTAAGTATTAACTTAATCCCTCTACTTTTCCGTTGAAAAGGGATTTTTTTCTTCCTACGCCAATTTTGTCCCTAAAAAGCGCTCTTCCTGCTCAGAAATTCAGACAATGAAGCTAATTTCCCCCTCCCGCAAAAATATAAGTTATTTGCGTGGGATTAAAGAGAGTCAAGCAGAAATTCGCGAATACATTAGTACGGGTATATATTTATCCTAGGATTAAAGTCTCCCCAAATAATTATCGAGGACTTTTCGAAACGGAAGATTACTTAGTTTCTAGGACCGCCGGTGCGCACTGGTAGACTCTAGTACGAAAGGCTCTCGTTCACAGATGAGCAAGTCGTTTGCAATTAACTACTGAAGCGCTTATCGAAAGGGGGTTTTGGGGGCACATCACGTGGAGGGTTGCGAATGGGGTGGAGGGTTGGGGGTTCCCGTGAGCTATTGTGCGAGAGTTTAAATGCATTTTCTGGCACTTTTCTACGTGATTTGCATAAATCGGCATAAACGCAGATGGGGTATTATACCCGGGTTTTGAGGGTAATACGAGAGGTGCTGTCTGTTGCCATAAGCAAGTTTTAACGGGTAGTTAGACCCCATCCCCCGTTTGCAATTAATTTCGAGGCACTGGATATGAATTTAAATTTGAGGCAAGTTATTATAACATCGTTACTTGAATTGTAAAATATGATTGCCTTCCCTAAAGTAATTGGATACTGTTTTGTAAGTGATGGAGTATCCAGTTTTAAAACAAGGATAGTTAGTTTCCATCTGTTACATTTATATAACTATTATCATATTGACCTAGTTTAAATTGTAGTGCGTAACAATAGGAATATATTAACATGGCAAATGCTAATTAATACAGTTCATCATAATAACTTTTTTCGATTATTATCATACATTGTATGAATAATCACTTTTCAGATTAATAAAATACAGTGCATGAATAATCACTTTTCGAGTAATGTAATCCTATCCTTTTGCAGTATAATTTAAGTCAAGGTCGGTTCGTTGGTTCTTTGGTGATATTTTCATGACATCAGATTTGTCCATGCTGCACCAAGCATTGTTTAGTATTTCAGATAAAGCGCTTTTATGATATTTGTCACATATTAGTTAAAGATGTGTTAAAAACATACATAAAATAAATTGACTTTAAAATTGTTTCAAAATCCTGTACTTCACATGTTCAATTGAAAATGTAATGAGACATCATCTCATTTTTGTTGTACTCTACAACATTACAGATTTCTGGCCAGAATAATTTCACAATATACTATGCTCACATTTGATAATAATTGGGATTATATATTTTTTATAATCATTAAGTACACAAACTATACAATCTTTTATGCATTAACCAAATATTACACTCAATAAACTTTCACATTCTTATGTATTGTATTAATAATCATTTGCTATGTTAATATATTCATATTGTTATGCACTATAATTTAAGCTAGGTCCATATGATAATAGTAACATAAATTGTAACTAAAACTAAAGAATGCGAACTAACTATTATTTTTTTCAAACAGATACTCCATGAGTTATAAAACAGTACCCCATTATTTTAAACAGTCATCAAGACAATAATCCTCATCATGTAGTAACTAAGTGTAAAATTTTGACAATAAATACATGAATATATAGCTGATGTACTTAATCTTTATTAAAATATACATAATAACGGATATTATCAAGTGTGAACATGGTATCATTTGAAATTATGCTAGTATGGACACTATTATGTTGTAGAGGACAACAAAAAAGGAGATGATGCCTCACTAAATTTTTAATTTCTTTAACTATCAATTTTCAACCTTCAGACACGCTATGTACTGAATTTTTAAACATATTTTTAAACAAATTATTTTACCTATGTTTTTAAGCACATATTTAACAAAAGCTTTCTCTTAAATATTAAATATTGTTTAGTATTTAAATATCCTCTTTTTGTTATTTAAACATTATAACATTATAAAGAAACCAACCAAGTGGTCTAGCTTAAATCAGACGAGTCAACAATATGATAATATTAAACTGGAAAACTGTTATTCATATAATTCAAGATAAAGTGAAGTCTTATTAAACGAAAAATTTATAAAGATATGCATGATTATGCAGTTTGAGTTCTTAATTTTTGATTAAGATTCATTTGCAATTAACTTCAAGACATTGGGTATAAATTTAAATTCGATGCAAGTTATTATAACGTCGTCACTTGAATTCTAAAATATGATTACCTAAAGTAATTGGATACTGTTTTGTAGTTTATGGAGTATTCAGTTTTAAAACAGCGACAGTTAGTTTCTCTTCGTTACAATTTATATGCTGAATTATGCAGAATATACCGGTTCTCGTTAGATCACCGAAGTCAAGCATCATTGGGCGCGGTCAGTACTTGGGTGGGTGACCACCTGGGAACACCGCGTGCCGTTGGCATTCACACATTTGGGACCTGAATGGCCGAGTGACTAGCGCTCTGGCGCTCGGTGCCACAGGTTTCGGGTTCGAATCCCGGCGGTGCCATGGGTGTTTGTAGTGATTCGGAATCCACTTTAAGCCGTAGGTCCCGGTCTCCTATGACTGTAAGAGCGTCACGGAGCCAAAGTCAGACATCTATCTACGGGTGCTCCATCACAACAGAAGCTGCTTCCTTCCCCTTCAATCATGAGTACATATGGGCTCGTGGGCTTGGCCAGCCAAGTGGGATAAGAAACAACAACAACAACACAATTTATATAACTGTTATCATATTGACCAAGCTTAAATTATAGTAGTGTGTAACAATAGGAATATATTAACATGGCAAATGATTATTAATACAATTCATGATAATTACCGGTACAATATTTTGTTAAACATGCATGATTACGTAATATTTATTGTATCAATATTTTGTTAATGAACATGCATTTGATTTTGGCATGAACTCTGTTATATTAGCAAAAAATATGCATGGAACAACAAAAATTGCAAATGGAACTTTTGTATCTTTATTAAAAAAAAAATGGAACAACAAAAATTAACATGGCAAATGATTATTAATACAATTCGTGATAAGGTGATAATCATACATGAATGATTACATAGTTTGTGAACTTTATCTTTATTAAAACAAATATAATCCCGATAATCATCAAGTATGAACATATTGAAATTATTCTGGTAAGAAATCTGTTATTTTGTAAAGGATTATTCACTTATTATTCAATCTCTAAATTTTAACTATCAATTTTCAAACTTGAGACATGTTAAGTACTGAATTCTGAATCAAATTATTTTATCTATGTTTCTTAAGCACGTATTTAATTTATATTTAACAAACGCTTTCAGCTAATTATTAAACACTGTTTAGTGCAGCATAGTGAAATATCATCTTTTTGTCATTTAAACATTACAAAGAAACCAACTAACTTCTTAAATTATAGTTCTAATCAATAGGAATATATTAATCTGGAATACAATTATTCATAAAATTTCAGATAAAATGAAGTCTCAGTAAACATAACATTTTAAAAAGACATGCAAGATTATGTAGTTTGTGTTCTTAAGTTCTGATTAAAATCCATGTAATCCCGTTTATTATCAAATTTGAGCATGGTGTTGATTGAAATTGAACCCTGGAATGAACCCTGTTGTGTTGAAAAGGACAACAAAAATTAAATGATTTCTTCACTAAATTTTCAATCGCTTTATGATTTAACTATCATTTTACAACATTCAATATGTTATGATGTTTTTAATCAATTTATTTTATCTGTGTTTTTAAGCACATTTTTTAATTTTTTTCCTTCTAATGCAGTCATAAGGGCTGCACCGATGTCACGCCATTTGCATTACCCAGGGGACGCGTGTAACTTGATGGTAAGCCACGGACGCAGATTAACAATGCCCCCGCAGCGCTCTACGATCCTATTAGGACCGTGACCTATGGCTTAAAGTTATTCGAAACACTACAAACACCCATCGGCAAAGTCGGGATTTGAACTCGATACCTGTGGTACCGAACGCCAGAGCGCTAGCCATTGGGCCATCAGGTTCATTTTTGACTTATATGTAATAAAACACTTGAAAATGTTTCTTCTTCTATATTAGACATTGATAAGTGGAGTATGGTGAAAAATGATCCTATCTGTCATTAAAATTGTAATAACCAACAAGCCGACTTATTTTAAATTATCATGTGCAACAATAAGATAATATTAAACTGGATAACAACTATTCATAAAATTCAAGATGAAGTAAAAAACAAGTAACATAAAAAAAATGTTTTTAAAGTCAATTCCTACTTTTTTTCACTCTATTGCAGAGTCTTTTATAAATAATTTTCATTCATTTTTTTAAGTTAGAAAAAAATCTCTCTCTCTCTCACACACACACACACTTTCCATCTCTCCCACTAATTTATTCACATGTTTCATTTTCCATTTTGTTCCCTCCTTGACTCAGACTAGAACCCCGAATGAAAAAAGAATCTGGAAAATAAATTTTGTTCCTGCGATCTACACGCTTCGCCACTGACGGTATTTATTTCTAAATATATACCCTGCTAAATATCTTATATAAGAGAAATCTTTTTCTAACAAATAAAACTAAAGTTAATTAATTAAATTTAACTAATGAATGAATTAATATTTGAAAAACTGTATCAACATCCAGTGTCATCCACTACAAGCTTGAAAAAAATGTAATTGAACTTGAGTGGAGGAATAAAAAGTATTTTATGAAAGATTGAAAATTTGAAAAAGATATATAAATATATATATATATAGGGAGAGTGGGAATGAATAGTAGGAATTGAAAAAAAAATACTACTTAAAATTAAAAGTAATCAATTTCAGAATTTTAATTTTAAAATTCAAATTTTAATACATAATCTAACATATAATATCTTTCATTTTTGCCTTACATCAACAGTATTTTTAAGGAATTAAGTGTTTTTGCTCAAATATCTAAACATAATAACACATTTATTTTTAAACATTTATATGTATTGAAACGAAGAGAGTTGAAACCTGTCTAGAAAATTCAGTTCAAAAGCAAACGAAAACAAGAAAAATTTCATTGATAAGCAGCATAAACATCATTAAATATATTACGAAACAATCTGTAAGAAATCTTTCATATATGGTAAAAGGTTTATTTCTATCTCAACCACTAACACTTTCATTAACGAGTCTTCACCACAGAATCAACACAAATAGAATAGAGTGAATGTTGTTTATACATCCTAGCGCAATGTACTCTTTTCAATACATTTAACTAGGTGTAATCTTGGGTGGAAATTAAATGCTTTTCTTTAGTAAATTTACCATTTAATATATTCTTGGACCTAAATATGCCTTGCTGACCATGTTGTTCATACATGGGATACAGGTTTCCTTGACAGCATGTTCTAACACATTATCAGTGTATATTTTGTACAAATTTTTATGTTTTATTTTAATCTGCAAATGATCTTTGATCGTTTGCCATCCTATGATTTGATTTTTGCTTATTAAATGATTTTAAATTTCGTTGTTGTAGCTTATACGCACATCGGATCAGGTCTTGAAATTTGTTTATTTGGATGTTTGAATGTGAAGAACTTCAACTTTTTACATTGCCAATGCTATGATGATTTTTTTAATTTGTGGGCAACCAACACCCGTTGTGCGAAGTGATCATGTTTCTAATTCACTTCTTGTCAGTTCTCCTTTGGTTCTATGTTCACGTGTTGTGCACTTTAAATATAGTGAGTGATACAACGGTCATGGGACAGCTTAGAGTTCGAGGAGCGGTACAGCTTACTAAATCATGAATATTTTATATAGGGATGAACGGTATGGGCCTGAATGGCCAAGAATCTCCGCTCGGTGCCACAAGTTTCGGGTCCCTGTCCCGACGGTGCCATGGATGTCGGTAGTGGCTTGGAATTGGCTTGGAATCGACTTTAAACCGTATGTCCCAACCTAATATGCTCTTAGAAGGCTGTCTTGAGGTTTAGTCAGTCTTCAGCCCTCGTGGTCCCTCGCAAAAATGAAGTTACATATTATCCTTAGCCATGGACCAGTCTATTGCACCTGGTGTACGCTTTTCTGCACCAGGGTTATTAGTACCAACCAAATATTAATGGTCGGAGGTGACAAAAAAAAAATAATGAGACATGAAAACTTTTTTTATTTATTTACAACATCTTTGCAAAGGGTTTCTTTGATTCAATGTTTAAAATATTCTCAAAATTGTGACCGTCACCCTTGGTGGTGTCGAAAGAGTCAGGCGAACATTTTCATAGAATTAAACTGTTGCCGCCTCTATAATATGATAGTAGATCGTTAGGTATAGGACTGACAAATCTAGCCAATAAAAAATCAGAAAAACATGTGTCTCAAAATCTGCTAGTAGGAAGATTAATTATATATATATAATTAAGATAATATATATATATATATATATGTATATATATATAATTTCTTTTATATACATATATATATTTAATTCATTTGAAGCAAGTATTTTATTTGTAAATTGCTTGAGAGTTCATCAGTAAAAATGCTTGAAACAAAGACTTAATTCAGTACCCGCCCCCAAATTAAACGAAAACATTTAACACTCTTCGTTAAGTTTTAAAAGATCCTTAAACGACAACTGCACAAAGCACTCTGTGAAGATGCATAATCACCATCTATTTCATTCGCTAATTATCATAATTACCTGGAAATTGTTCCCTCCTTTTATTTCCCGCCAAAACTGTGTAACCATTAAAAAACCTATCAAAACATTTATTTTTTTTTTCTTCCTCTCTGCTTCTTTTAACGACCAGATTTTGAATCTCCATCTTAAATGCATATCTTTTAGTAGCTGCTGCTGCTACTGGTAAAGGTAGTAGCAAGCACAGCACGGCAGCTGCGCTTAAGTGCTCTCCTCCAAAATTGTCCACCGGTTTCTTTTTAATGAGTCTCCTCGCATTTCGCCGTGTTATTTACGCCTTCAGAGAAATAAATGGGTTGTGGTGGAGGCGAGTCAGTAACGAACTGTGGAGAAAAAGATCTCCAAGTCTCTCTCCTTTTTTTTTTAAGTGCGAAATTGACTCCATTTGGAGAGATTAGCAGTCAGTGGGAAGTTATGATAGAAAACGGTGTTAGTGCGATGAAATAAAAATAGAATGAAGCAAAACCTTTGGAAGTAAATTGCTCTTGCACTCTTAGAATGGAGAATAATTACTCCGCGTTCGGTGAAAAAATGTTACGAGTAAACGCATATCGTCAGATACAAAGTTAAATTCCCATGATTCTGAGTAAATATGCACTGAATGTTTAAATTGTTAGCAGATTCTCATATTATTTCTATGGGTAAATGTTACAATTAGCCTCATATAGAAAATATGAATTTTATTTGTATGTTAACTTTTTTCTTTTTTTGGAAAAAATAAAGAAATTTTATAATAAAAAATGTT